AATAAGTCAGACAACAGAGGGGGTTTGGACTGACATGAAGAGCCTGGGTTGTCACTTGAATGCACTGCATTTTGTTATATTCAACACCAGCCTCATGTCTATATGAGCGTTTGGTATAATAATCACAAGAGCACCCTCTTATTTAAGGGCTAGAAATTTATGGAGCAGTGTCTTGGTCTCTTTCATGTTACTGTGATAAAATGTGTGACAGAAACAACTTATGAGACTGTTTTTTAAGGTTAATCCTCTCCATGGTTGTTTGTCCCAGTGAGCTTGGCAGGACCTCAAGGCAGAGGGAATGAGTGGCAGAGGAGAGATATTCACTTTTTGGCTTACCAGAGGCCAGGGAGAGTCAAGAAGCAACTAGGGATACTAGTTTTCTAACAGCCTTTCCACAGTGGCCTACTTCCTCTACCCAGATCAGACCCCCGAAAGTTTCCACCACCAGTTAGGGAGCAAGCATTCAAACCATTCTCTTTAAATCCTAACAGCTGAGTACCTTGCCAAGTGTGGTCCACAAATATGAGGGAACTGCAACCTTGCAATACCAAAACAAGGCAGAAACTATTGTCAGGACTTCATTTTCAACGAGAAATGTGAGGCTATGGAGATGGTCCCGTTTGGATTTAGTGCTATCAGCAGCAGGGAGCCAGCAGGGAGTGCTGATGAAGAGAACAACTGGGTATGCTTTCTGATTTTTAGTCAAAACGTGACTCCTCCCTGGTCTCTACCTGGGCAGAACCCCAGAATTCCAGAGGCTACCCAGTTAAGCCCTCCCCCCACCGTTTGTCGTGCGAACTTTCAAACACTTGGCATATGCTCACAGGAATATGATTGAATAGCAGGTGGCTGCTGATTATTTTCAAATCCATGAAGGTCCAGGTTTGGGTCAGACCAAAGGCAGGGCCTATATAAGCCTTGGCATAGTGCCCCTGGACTCCACCATCTCATCCTCGACCCTTTGACAGCCTCTCAGGAGCAGAGCCAGGAGCTTCCTGGGGGTAGGGGCTCAGTTCCTTGAGACCTTGATAGGATTCCTTTCTTTGGCTTTACCCACAAGCCAGGGCTGTATCCACTAAGTAGGCGGCTATACACCAAGCTTTGAGACTCAGTTTCTTAGTGTTCTGCTACTTTAAGGTATGAGCCACTGAACACATGCCTTTACCTTCCATTATCTAGAACCGGGTACACATATTCCTGCAGGTAAAGGAAAGTATCTAGGAAAACGGAGGGAAATATGCTGTTAGCTTACAACTTAGGTAACTAAAGAACCCTGGGTAGCTCCACCCTTCTATTCAGTGAAGAGAAACCCTTCCCCTCCCCTGCTTTATCAACCTTGGAAGTGCCCTCTATGACAACCAGGGTGAATTCATGTTTCCAGCAAGCACAAGAAATCCATGTTTCCAGCAGTAACTGATAGGAGCCCTCACTGTGCCTCTCTGATTACTTGTAAGACAGTCTGGTTACTTTTAAGACAGTCTCGTAAGATATCTGGGCTACAGTGACCCTTGATCACATGACCTAAGGCTGGTTCCATGGTGTTAACACCAAGCTCTTTGCCTGACCTTCATCCTTCTTAACAATTGTTTAGGTCATAGAGCTCCTGAAAACATGAAGACAGCTATATCTCCCTTTTCCAGGGTATGCACAATTCTGTGGCCAGCCTCCCCTCCCCCAGTTTCCTAGAACGCTCCAGGAAGAACAAAATCTATGAACAGTCACTGAGCAGAGATGCCACACCAGTCAGAGTGGGTACCACAGCGGTGCCTGCAGAAAGCAGGCCCAGGGCTGCCCTCCTGGGATGTAAGTTACAGAGGCCAGCTGCTGCTGAGTTCTAGAGAGAAAACAAAGAAGGGAAAGGGAAAGGAAGTGCCAGAGATGGGCGTAGGGCTTTGAAACATTACACAGGGTGGCCAGGTGACATTTATATCAAGACTAAAGGAAATGAGGAAGCTGGCCTGTCTGGGGGAAGTGAATTCCAGCCCTGGGGAAGAGCTAGTGCAAAGGACCTAAGGTGAGAAGGACCTAGCCTGTTGAAGATGGGCCAGGAGGCCCATGTGGAGTGATTTATGGTGATGGAGGAGGCAGGGAGCTCTGTCCCACTTGGCCATCAGAAGCCCTTCCGCTTTCTCAACTTTTGTGCAGAGTCAGTACAGCATTTTGCACAGTAGAAAGCAGACGGGTTTGCTGAAGGGAAGACCCTGGCCAATCTTGCTCCTGGAGTGAGCCAGTAGGAGGTGCAGGAGCCTGGAAGCAGAGGTTATCCACAGAGAAGATTGGGCCCATGCTTTTTTTTTTTTTTGAAGCCAGAATTTCTGTGGGACTGGATGAGGAGTATGGCTGAAAAAGAAGAATTATTGAAGCCTCCAAGGAGGAGGTCCTAGGTAAGTCAAAGAAGCACACTGCCTTGAGATCTTGAACTCTGGGACCAGCAGGGCCCTGGCTAAGTGGAGTGAAGAGAAAGCCCCCTCCCAGATGGCTAAATTCTCGTGTACTATTAGATGGCTAGGGGCCTTTGAATTAGCACTGCCAGGCAGTTAGCTTTTGGCCAGGTCCACAGCTGTGATCTGTGCTTCCTTCCAAAGACACTGGAGGAATGCTCATCACTGCCTTCCTGGAGGATGCAGTGCTTGGGGCTTGAGTGGTACACCACCAGTAGTAGAGCTCCATCTCCCCCTTTCTTGGTTAGTGCACATTTAAATGATAAGAGTCCATGAACACTGCTCCAGGGTGGTTGGCTATCCTACTCCTTTTAACTCTGTTCAATCAGATATTCTTTAAGAGACTCTCAAGCTCTCTCAGCCATAGGAACCCTAGATGGGGTCTCCTAGCAATCTACAGTCTCTGGTGGCAGCTGCAGGTCCAAAGTAGAAAGGATTGTGCCCTGCTCCAATGTATTCCTACCAAACTGCCAGGCTGAGACATGCACACTCCCCCCTCCCCGACCCATGGATGGTTCTTGCCTCCTTTATCCAGCATCCGTGCCTTGAGTTTGTGCCCAAAAAGAGCTGGGTCACCACAGAGCTTTAAAAAAGCTGAGGGGGGAGAACTCAGCTTTGTAGCACCTAAGATGCCCACCAGGAGATTTTTGTCGTGGTTGGTTCTAGATGTGTCTACCCCCCCCCACACACACACCCACTGTCCTATATCCTAGAGCTAAGGAGGGAAATGAAAGGGGGGGGACTGTGTGGGCTACGCCCCCCTCCCCCCGCCATGACCTGGGACTTCCTAGGACAAGCAGACAAGAGCGCATTGCTACTAGTTAGAGGTACCTGCAGAAGCCCAGCGCTAGCTGTTGGAGTGAGTCATCAGTGACATTTCCCTGCGGTGCTCAGCCCCTGCTGCCACTGCTACTGCAGCAGCTGCTGCCGCTGCCACCAGGGATTTTTCAGGTTAGTCGCATGCCCGGGTTGGGTACCCTGAAGAAGGGAGTCAGCCCACACTACCAGAGAACAGAGATGGAGGTCTCCAGCCTCGGCGCCGGGGGTGGGGGGGTGGGGTGGGGGTTGGGGGGCACTGGCCCACTACGCAGTTTACAAGCAACTGGGGCTACTGCAAAAGCCACAGGTGTTGGTCCTGTGATCAACTCCTCCATAAACAACTAGTCCAGTCAAGCTTGAGCATGGTCTTTGCTCGCCCTGGGCCCAGAGAAAGAGACAGCAACAGAGAGACTATGGCCAGCGTGCCTGAGTTCCGGGATAAGCTTACTCACAGCGAGAACAACAATCAGCCTCTGAGCTGAGGACAGACAGGAGGGGGGCGGGGGGAAAGGGGGAGTGAGGAGGGGGACATCAAGGAGGGAGAAGGCGTGCGCACTTGCGCGCTGAGGGTGGGGTGGGGCACAGGCTTGTAGGTCAATGGCTGACACTTGGGAGCCTAGGTCCCTACTGGAATCACTCCTGGCTGGTTTGTTTGATCATCCAGGTATGAGTTGTTGATGAGCCTACAGACACATTGCTTGCAGAGTGAGACCAGCGCCATCCGCCACGGAGCAGCTGCTACCTACTGCAGGTGAGCGCCCTTACCTGAAGGAAGAGGGAGAAGCGGCAGCTCTGGCTTCGGAGTCAAGCTGTGTTGAGATTGAGAAGGGGTCTCCCTCTCTGTTTACTTCATCATCATCTGTCTGCCTCTCTCTGTCAGCTTTCTCTTGGTTTCTGTCTCTCACCCTCGTCTTCAATCTCTCAGGCTAAGTCTGGAACATTCTCTCACCTTATCACGGTTGAGTGCTGGCTTTTCGGCTCACTCTCACTCTTCTGTCCTTCCATAATGCTCGCTAGCCACCAACTTGCTCTGTTCTGAAACTAACTGGAAAAGTTAACCTGAGGCGTGTGACTTTTCCTCTAGGCCCAGGGTCTCCTATAGCCCTGGAGTGGCCCCATCCCATTCTTATGACTGGGCTTGTTTTCTAACCCCGCTATTGCTTCTCCCGATCAGCGCACAGTGCAGCCACTTGACTTCGTTGGTATAGGCCACCCTTCACCTCCTAAGGAGCCTTCGAGGTAACTATGCCCTCACCCTTTCCACTTCTCTAGTCTCTCCTAGCTGCCCCAGGGAAAAATGAGGCTGCCACTGCGAATCCAGCCCGCTGTTCCTTCGCCCATTAAAAAGTGTCTAGAGGATTTGGGAAGTCCCTTGAGCGACCGGCTCTTAGTTTGCTTGTGTCTACATCCCGGTCTGGAAACCCTGCATTTTAAGGCTTGAGGCCGGTGGGGTCGCAGGCAGGGCAGCGCAGCTTCTCCTTTAAGACCAGAGCTGCTCGTCGCCGTGAGTGTGAGGGTGTGTGAGTGTGTGGCGTGCGTGTCTCCTCCTCCCCGAGTGACACAGCAGTGAGAAATGCCTATCAGTAACTTAAACCCCCCCCCCGAAACTCCACCTTCCGGGCGCGCGGCGCGAGCCGGGCGGTGGGAATGGAGCGAGCAGATTGAGGCCGCCACTGCAGCGCCGCCAGCATGAACTTGGCTGCGAGCTGAAGCGGCGGGCAGCGCGCGGGCGCGGGGGCACCGGCCGCTAGCCAGGGGGTGATCTTCAATCCGGCTGGGCCATTCGGCGGGCGCCTGGGGGAAGGCTGCCTGTGCCGGCGGCTGCCCGCCCCTCCGACTCTGTCCTGGCTGCTGCTGGAGCTCCGCAACACGGTAAGGGTGAAGGCAGATGCGGGAAGTCCGACTACTAGGGTGGGGGGGGGGGGGCTCCAGAGTGCACTTATAGCCCCCGCTTATAGTCTCTATCTTTGAGGATCCGGGGCCCCGGGATGCTGTGAGATGGGAGACCCCAAAGTTTGCTCTGAGCACATGGCCCACCTGGCGCTGGGGGTTGGCCGCCCCCCTCTCGGACTGGCCTAACTGGGGTGAGCGCAGGTCTCAACGTCCAGGGTCTTTGGTCTCTGCCTTCTTTTAGGGGCCCCAGAGGGAGTCCAAAACTGGGCGGAGGCAGCTGCATTCCGAGGAGGAAAGGTATAGAGGGGCGCAAGCTGCGCGGGCTCCACGGGCTACATTAGGTTAGCAGGAAGCACCCACTCCATCCCCACACCCCTGGGCCGCTTGCTCACTGCCCAAGGTGCCATCAGAGATTCTGTCTTTCCATGCCAGCCCCCGAGTCCAGCAGTGGGCACTAGATGAGGAATACCCCTGCCCCAAATCAATTTGCTGCCGCGGAACAGAGTGTGGGGTGTGCGCGTTGCCCTGCGCTTCCCCCACCCCATTTGCCAACTCCTCCTCATGAAAGCAGCCTGGAGCAAAACTGGGGGCCCGAGGCAGCCCCTACTGATTCCCACCCAGCGTTCCCAGAGCCCCTGCGCAGGAATTGGCGCTCCAAGCTCCCGGGCATTCTCTCTGCAGCCTAGACAGGCGCCAGGCTCTGCCTAAGGCGGGTGGGAAGCCCCCCGGAGCGCCGCCAAATACTTTTCTTGGCCACTTGGTTTGGCCAGGTTCCGTCCTGATGCAGTGAGTATGAAGCCTGGAAAGCTAGCGGTGATGTCTGATTTCGATCGGTGATTAAATTCGGACTGAGCGGACACTAATAGGATTACCCCACAGAAAAACTTGGCCCTAAAGCCATTGGAACCTGGGCAAACAGACGCGCCTCAATCTGGGGGATTCGCTCCCCGCTGGGCTCCTGCAGCTGGGTGCGGCTGAGTCGGGCACCCCGAATGTGGGTGTGTGAGAGCAAGGGCAGGAGCACGGAGTGTCTAGGGAACCTGGGGAGATTGGATTCCAGTTGCTGGGGTAGCTTGTCCTTGTTATTTGGCAGCAGAAGGAACCCCTTAGAGTACCGTCCTCAAGCCAAATGTTCCCTTTGCGGGTAGCCGACTAAGGTCGGTTCTGGGACATTGTCTGTGAGGGCGAGAGAGCCTAGTCAAGGAGAGCAGGTCGTGCTGTAACAAAGACGCAAAGTCTCCTCAAGCCTCAGCAATTCTCAAAGAGTTTGCTAGGGAGAGGGCCAGGGTCTTCCAGAGAAGACACCCGCGGGAATCATGTCTCCCCCATCGGCCCCGGGCCATGGCCGCTACTCCTGTTCCCTGCCTGCGGTGGGTGGATGGGAGCATCACAGCGGCTCGGCCCAGTTTCTTCGCAGGCGCAGGCTCTCGCTCTGGTGCCCACTGACCGGGCGGGGTCTACCATGCACCCACCAGGGCTTCCCGGCTGCCACCGCTGCTCAGGGCCCCTGGAGGCCGCGCAGCTTCTTTCCTTCCCTCCCTCCCACCTCTTCTTGTCTTTATAGATTCCCCCCTCCCTCCCATCCCCGCCGCCTCCGCCGCCAACAATCCGCTTTATAAAAAGCCCCTTTGTTTCCCAGGAGGCTGGAGAGAGGGAAGGGGAAAGGGACTCAGAGGCAGAGGGCGGGGGAGGCAGCCTCCCTCCAAGTAGCTTCGAGCCGCTTGGGACAGGAGGGCTAGTGTAGGCAATGGGGGGGGGGTGTATTTTGAGGACCCTCTGTAAGAGCCCGGGAAATCTCGGAAAGCTCTTGTTCCTGACGTATTCTATGCACTTGGTCGGCCAGCCTTGTACACCCTAAATTCATGCAGCTAAGACTGTCTGGCCTGCTGTACTGGGAGCAGGCAGGAGCTAGGAGGGAGGCGGCGAATGCTCAGCAGGGTGGGCAAATGCTGCAGGTCCCTGTTATGACAGGGCTTGGGCATAGGGGGCGCCCTTTCCTCGGTTTCGCTTTACTTTGGGGCGCCCCTCTCAGCCAAAAAAAAAAAAAAAAAAAAAAACCTAGGGTGGCTGCTGAGCCTGTAGGCAGCAGAGGCACTGGTAATGGTTTGAGACTTTGACCACCTTGTAGTCTAGTTATATTCCTCTTCTTTCCTGCTCCCTACTATCGTATCCCCCCCCCCACACACACACACTCCACAGGATTGAAACTCTCCGAGGGTGCCCTTCGTTTGAGGCATGAAAAGTGAGTAGCCGCGGCCACCTCTAGGGTAGTCTGGAACTGTAAGTGAACGCAGAAGCTGCCAGGGACCACGCATTGGCCAGTTGCCTCTATACAAACACAGGGTCTGGCAACAAGGGGTGTCCAAAATGCACCGGCATCAAGTTTTTAGCTGGACTGAGGATTTATGGGCTGTGTTCCTTCCACCTGCTTCCCCCCACCCACCTAACTTGGGATAAAACCAGGCTTGCCACGTGGGAGGTTAAGCCTGATGTTACAAGTAACCTTTCACATCCTGTCAGCCCGCTCCTCAGGGCTTCTCCAAAAGAACTAAGTTCCTCAGGGAAGATAAGGTTACTGATAAGAACAAAAGGTGACAAATAAGAAGGGGTGGGACCTAACTCAAACTGGTAGTCTCTAGAGTAATCCTACTCCTCTCGGTCCCTCCTTGCTTCCACCCTTCCCGGTACCCCCTTAATCTGGTGTTGAAGTCTTTGTGAGTACAAGCGCCTGCAGATGCATTCCTTTCTACGTCTTTCTCCCGCTCCACCCCTATAGCACTAAGTGTGTTGTCTGAACATTTTTTGGTCTATAGAGTAGTAGGTGAAGTGGTACCCCCCCCCACACGCACACACACATCCCAGTTACATCTAAAATCATAAGAAAGTAATCAAAGGGTGAACTGTTGGTTCTACTTTCTCCTCCTTTTGTGCATTTCTTCTGGAGCAAGATCATTGGAAAATAAATGTGCTGATGTGTGAGATGGAACATATGGTACCTCCAGAAGAGAGGAGCTGAAATGGCCTTGAACCTGCCGGACAGCTGTTTGCTGCCAGCTAGAGCAGCTAATCAGCTTTTTCCCCTTAAAGTAACAGCCCTCTTTTCCGTTGATGACCAGTAGCATATTAAATAGGATGTTCTCCAGAGGGGAAAAGTGATGGGATTCTATATTGTTTTGTGCTTTCACAGATCTCTTGTGTTTTTGCTGCTCGGGGAGCTTGTCTTGCTCTCTAGCTCTACCTGTGTCCAGCTTGTGCCTGTTTCCTCTAGTATTTATGAGAATGATGCTCACAGTAGAACTTGGGAATCAGGGAAGGGGAAGAAAGGGATGAGCTGCTGCTGTTAGGAACACCAGCAGTGCTGCCCCTAGTCTCCCTTTAAAAACATCTTAAGAGTTGAAGGGCTTCCTTACGAGATCTCCATTAAAACCATTCTCTTCCGGCGAGGACCATTTTCAGTTTTTTCTTCAGTACAATGTGTGTGTGTGTGGGGGGGCAGTTTGGCGTTGGAAGAAAGGCTTTAGAAGACACAAGGAAATTCCATGTTAGGAAATCATTAGCAAAGGGTGACTTTGTCTGTTTTCCTGCCACTGACGCTGACAGTGACACAGATGTGTGGGTTGAAACAGGAACGTCATTGAATTTTTAAACTGAACCAGGAAATAGCCTGTTGCTGGAGTTGGGGGGGGGGGTTACACATTCATTGCCTGTTAAGATAGAAGGTTTGCTGTTGCCAATCCTTTTCAGTGAAGAAAAGGCATTTTTAAACCCAGCAGCAATTTAATCTTTTCTCCCCCTCGCTAAAGGCTTAAAATGCACCTGATAGTGAATCATGCTTAGGAACTCCATTACTGTTTGGGGTTATGGGAAGAACAAAAATTGATCGTAACCAAGTGGTTCTCCTGGCAGAAGTAAGCCTACTTTTTAAAGGGGCTTTGCATATGTAGTAACCATTTTCAATTTCAGTGATTCTGATTTTTCTTTCCCTGAGACAGTAGATGGTTGATCAGATAATTTGACTAGAAACTGGGTAACATTCTTTTCTTTCTAAAAACTTCTATTAATTAACAGAGGGATCACGGGTAAGCTTGTCCTCCCTCCTTGCATTCCCCCTTTAGCCCCTGAATCTGATTCCCTCCGAGTTTCTAAAGTATTAGGATCTGTGAACAAAAATGGTCATTTTCTGGGAAAATGAAGCATCAAGTTCAGCCTTGCCATTGGGGAAAACAGTAAGATAGATAAAGAAATGGGGCTAAGATTTTAAGAGACATTGAAAAGGGGGGAATTAATGTGGCAGAAGGCCAATCAAAACAATATTAAAGTGGGAAGTGCCCCCCCCCCCTTGTGTATTTGCAAGTGTGAACTTCTAACCTCAAGTTATAGACAAGGAGGCTGAGAGGCAGCCCAGAGTGCCTCTTGTCCAGTACCCCTAATCCAGCCCTCTTGGGGCCTATTGATGGCAGGCCTCCTAATCACTGGGCTGGTCTACAGATAACGGGATCTAAACTCTTTGAAATTGGACTGGCATATTTCCAGAGGACTCATTAAATATAGAGCAGATTTGCTGCCTTGCAGTTATTTAGCAAAGGTTACAAGGACAAAAAGGCCTGCTATCCACATACACACATGACCCACTGGGATATGGATTCAGAACTCGATGCTGAACCTTTTCTTAACCCTCGAGTTCTGAGGAGTGTCTTCTAAAGAACACATTTCCTACTTTAAGGATTCAGCAGCAGTGGAAGAATCTGCCACTGTCCTGCTTGATGTTAATATTGATTTTATAACTGGTAAGGGTGGACGTTATGAAGAAAGACCTTTTATCCTCTCAGTTCTTTGGCAATTATCTTGCTGCCATAAATGTTGATACACATATAATTGATGTAACTAAAAAAAATTCCCCTTATCCAAGCAAAAATGGCTGAGTGTTTGTTGGGGCAGAGAGAATGCTGAGAGTGTGAATAGACCGACCCAGATGTCAC